TCTCTCCCCCCCCTGGCTCCATCCCCGCACGCCCTGCAGGGAAGCCAGACCGGTTTGCAGTACCGGTAGCAGCAGTGGGATCCTCCGCCGCAGTCGAACTAGGCGTCCTGGTCAGTGCGTGGGGACAAGTCGCCCTGTCCCGCCGTCGCGTGCCCAGGACGGAGGGCCGGGATAGGCCAGGCCCCTAGAATTGGTCGGTTCACGCAGGGCTCCGGGACTAGACAAGGGCTAAGCGGTGGTTCTCAAAGCCTGGAAGCCCGGCTACATAGGTCCGTGTATGGGATAGGGTGGGTGTCCCTGTTTCCAGGCCACTGAACTCGGCTATACCTGGTAGCCTGCTGGCAGCGAAGCCCGCAGTTAAGCACAGGCGCCCCCTCCACCTGGAAAGGACAGGCCAGGAGTCCAAGGAGTCGGTTACTTCCTTGCTAAGGACAGCAGGTGCGCCCAGGAAGTAAGACCTACCGCACAGGTACAGGTGCGTTGGCTGGGCGAGGGGTGGGGGGCGGTGTCCCAGGAGAACCAGTACTAGAGGGTGTCTGGCACCAACGCGCTGGGATAGGCTGGGGGCCAAATCTACTGATAGCGCTCAGCTGGCCCCGGGCACTTGCAGTCTCACCTAATGTCCGTTTAGCTGCGAAGAGGGTAGGGGCCAGGTCGAAAGCACTCCTTTGGCAAAATGCTGCCATGGACCCTGAGGCTGAATTCACTTAATAGGAACCGACCGGTAGTGGATACCTCCCAGCTGAATCGAAGCAAGTCGTATTTCTCAGCCTCATCTCACCCTTCTTTAACAAAACAAAAATAAAAACAAAAACCCAACACTGATGGAAAATGTGGGCTGTGTTCTGTTTGGAGAAGAATAACATTTCATGCTTATTAGCCTCAAATATTCCTGCCTTGCTGAGCCAAAAGGAATTTGTTAGACGGATTCTCCGTTAGCTGCCTGCAAATGAACACCTTTTGGTTTTAAGATCTCTGACTCTTCCACTCCCCACCTTGAGTGAGTTCATTATGGTTTTATATCATCCTGGAATGGAGCGCAAAAATCCCTTGGCAAAACAGATACCTGCTATTCTTTAGCTCCGCGTTATTGGTGTAGCAATGACAAATACCTATTATTCAGCTGTTTTCTCAGCCTACTCTTTCTCAACGTTTCCAACCATTACTGGGAAATTTAGGGCAACAATGTTTTGAGGACCCTGTGTCCTGTGTCTGTTTTATCCTGGAATCCTAGACTCTTCAAAGCTGAGAGCAGGAACATATACCTAGTCCAGCTTTCTAGTCTTAGAAAACTAAGACTTACAGACATGAAGTGACCTAAAGACTAGATCACACTCTTCTTGACCCCCAATTCCTGAACAGTAAGGAACAGGAACACTGGGTTAAAAAAGTTCAAGCTGAGGTTGATAGGTGAGGGGAGGACAGAGGAGAAATCAAAGCCCTGTGCATCTGCTGGTGTGGATCACTGCATAGGGGGCAGCATGACACCATGGTAAATCACAGACTAGCCTGGCTCTGGGGACAGTCATCGCAGTTTCCCCTTCCCTGCTCCTCAGACCAGCGCTGAAATCCAAGGAGTGGAAAACAAATTGGCTTCCTAGAGAGGTGGTAGTAAGTGAAAACACAAAGTTAGTTCTTGGTAATGAGTGTCAAACCAAACTTAAAGGAAACCCCAGTGGACCAGAAGTGATCACACACATTACAAACAAAGGCCCAAATGCATGTGTACACACAGCCCTACTTGGTATTGGCGCCCTTCAGTAGCACCCGGACGCAAACAACCTTTGGTTTCCAGAGAACTGTCACAAGACAAACTGCCCACTGGCTATTTAGAGTTAACTCTATTGGGACCAGCTGTTGGCATAATGGCTTTGTTGCTGAACTCCCTTGTAGTCAACCACGGTTCATGTCCTGGACCCAGTGGCTTAAACTCATGCCAGGCGCATGTATGTGCATGCCCAAGATTTTGAGAGAATGGAGGAGAAGGGATTGCGGTGTGGCCAACCCCCCTGGGGGGGGGGGTGATTTTTCGCTTTCTGTCTCTCTGTCTTTCTGGCGAGCGTGCATGCCCTATAGCAAAAACCTCTCAAAAAAAAAAAAGTTAACTCTATTAAACATGATTCTAAGAACTCTACCAAGAGTTAAGATTGCATCACTATTATGAATTAATTAATGAAACCAGAGACCACATTGTAGAAGACCTTATATAGCTTTCTGATTTTTATCACTCAGTCTATGTACAGGAATTTGGGCAAGCCTCCTTCTATTGGAAATAGCATCAGTATCACTAGCAGTAGTGAGATGGCCAATAAATCTGGAAGCCTATTTAAAAATTGGAAAATGCTCATCTGAGTATTTTACTTAATTTAAATGTAATCTCTCCAGTTGATTCCAACTGTTCCAAATCTTTTAATATTTAAGAATTATTTGATTTTGGGGAACCAGCAGTTAGCGTAATGACTATGTTGCTGGACTCCCGCATAGTCGACCACGGTTCGCATCCTGGACCCGGTGGCTTAAAACTCACGCCGGGCGTGTGTGCGTGCGTGCCCAAGATCCCAGGAGGAGAATGGAGGAGAAGGGATTGCGGCATGACCATCCCCCCGGGGGGTGATTTCTCGCTTTCTGTCTCTATGTCTCTCTCTGTCTGGCGAGTGCACACGCCCTATAGCAAAAACCTCTCCAAAAAAAAAAAAAAAAAAAGAATTATTTGATTTTGGGACCAACAGATGGCATAATGGTTGTCATTGGACTCCCACATGGTGGTCCATGGTTTGTGTCCTGGACCCGGTGGCTTAAAACTCATGCTGGGCGCATGTACATGTGTGCCCAAAATCCCAAGAGGAGAATGGAGGAAAAGGGACTGCAGTGTGACCATTCCCCCTGGGGTATAATTTCTTACTTTTTGCCTTTCTGTGGTGAGCACATCCACCCTATAGCAAAAATCTCTCTCTCTCTCTCAAAAACAAAGAATTATTTAATTTTAGGTAATATTAATATTTTTAAATTTGCTACAGGGCACATGTACTCACTAGAGAGAGAGAAAGAAAGTGAGAAAGCAAGCCACCAGGTTCAGGACTTGAACCACAGTTGGCTATGTGGGAGTTCAGTGCCTTAACCACCACCCCACCTGCTGGCCCCAGTGCCAAGTCTTAATAATGCTATCATTTAACACTCCCCTTAAGGAGTACACATGAATTCCTTATAGTAGATTTGATAGCATTAGCAACCCCAATTAATGACTCCCCTTAATCTAGATTCTATCTCTCTAACTTTGGAGCCCCCTCTTGGTTTGAGCTCAACGATATCAATCATTTTGGCCAATGGAGCAACTTCAGACTTTGTGCAAATGAAGGTTTGAAAAATATGCATTTGTACTTCGATGCATGGAATTCTGCCATTACCAAGGGAACATGCCTGCTTGAGGATAAAAGACCCTCTGAGGCAAAGCCGAGTCATCACAGTTGACCACCCAGCTTTTAGTTGACTGCAGAGGCACAAGCCAGTCCTACTGAGATATGCCAGGCTTGGTCCAGATCATCAGATCCGTCCACCTGACCCAGATTCATGAGACATACTAGTGCGTTGGTGGAAAAGTCATGACCTTACATTCTCAAATGTCAAGTTTACTTGAAAAGTTGGCAGTGGTTTGAAAACCTCACATCCACTTCCTTTCCCTCTCCTTGTGCCCTGGTCCATTTGTTCTAGCTCTGCATAGAAACAGAGAAATATATCATGGCTTTTCCAATGACCCAATATATGGTTGCTGGTTTAAGCCACTGCTTCAGTTTGTCCAGAGCCATATAACACCACAGTAGCTAGAACACAAATATTTACTATTTCTCACGACTATGAGTTAACTGAGCTCAGCTGAGCCTTGGCTAAAGTTATTTACTTGACTGCAATCTGCTGGCCTCTCGCAGCTAGCTGAGCTAGAAAGTCCAAGGCTTCACTTACAATAGGCTCCTCTGTTTCCCCTTCCACAATGCCAGCTTTCTTACAGCATATGGTCCTCCTAGCAAGGAAGTCAGACATATATGGCACCTGGCTTCCAAAAGAGAGGAACTACCAACTGCCAGTCCTCCCAGAACCGAGCTTAGAAGTTTTAGAATGCTATTTTCACTTTATTCTACTGATCGAATTAAGTCACAAAACCAACCAGATTCAAAAGGAGAAGAAACAGACTCAATCTTCTGATTTTGAAGCACTATGAATGCTCAGGAATAGAAGGACATAAAAGCATCCATTTGTGGGAGACCATGTTATCCACTAAGTATTCAGGTGGTTTGTTATACCACGTTAGGTAACTGATACATACTTCTTAACTATGGGACTTTGGGCTGGTTACAAATTCTTTCTAGGCCTTCCTATGAAATGAGGGAGGTTGAGTTTCTCTAATTTGCTAACGCATAGTATTTGCTTTAGTGATGTCTCAAGGGCAACTGAAGTCCAATAAATAGTCAAAAGGGAGCTACCAGAAGGAATTTGAGGAACACTGATCAGCTATGGGTATTTATCTGCCACTTATTCTCAACCTGGGAGAAAAATCCCCAAGAACACAGATGAAAGGCATGCACTATATCCACTGACATTAAACACTAGGAAAGTAGAATCTGAATCCTCGTAACTCCTAAGAGACTAGCCGTCTGCCACATTGTCTTTTCTTTCTAGAAACTTCCTTTCTAAGCAAGCAAGAAAAGCGAATGCTTAGCTGTGCCTTTATTTAACTTGAGGCATTGATTTCAGAGGTCCAGGTTACCCTGGGGACCTTACATTCTCAAATGTCAAGTTTACTTGTAAAGTTGGCAAAGGTTTGAAAACCTCATAATCCACTTTCTTTCCTTCTCCTTGTGCCCTGGTCCATTTGTTCTAGCTTTGCCTTCTGTTTTCTGCTGCCTTTTTTCTTTCCTAATCCTATCCATCTCTTACTCCTCCCTCTCAGATTTGGAAAGAGCATTGAACTGGGAATCGCAGGTATGGGTATTTATCTGCCACTTATTCTCAACCTGGGAGAAAAATCCCCAAGAACACAGATGAAAGGCATGCACTATATCCACTGACATTAAACACTAGGAAAGTAGAATCTGAATCCTCGTAACTCCTAAGAGACTAGCCGTCTGCCACATTGTCTTTTCTTTCTAGAAACTTCCTTTCTAAGCAAGCAAGAAAAGCGAATGCTTAGCTGTGCCTTTATTTAACTTGAGGCATTGATTTCAGAGGTCCAGGTTACCCTGGGGACCTTACATTCTCAAATGTCAAGTTTACTTGTAAAGTTGGCAAAGGTTTGAAAACCTCATAATCCACTTTCTTTCCTTCTCCTTGTGCCCTGGTCCATTTGTTCTAGCTTTGCCTTCTGTTTTCTGCTGCCTTTTTTCTTTCCTAATCCTATCCATCTCTTACTCCTCCCTCTCAGATTTGGAAAGAGCATTGAACTGGGAATCGCAGGCCTGCTCTCACAGCCCAGCTCTGTCCCTGCAGCAGTGAAATCTGCATTCTCTCTTGGCTTCATATTTCTGATCTCCATCACAAGGGTGCTGGCTGACATGCTTTGAAAGGTCCCTTGCATGAGTAGCATTCTATGATCCTTACACACCCTCTGTGATATGTTCAGTGGTGAGGCTTGGAGGTGTGTGAGTGTTAACAAGTCAGAACACTTCAGAATAAGCACACCTACATCTTGACCATTCTCCAGTGATTCTTAATACATCGGCACTTTTCCCCAAAATTGTTGCTTGGAAGTTATAAAATATGCAACTGTACCCACTGTAAGTCCTACTATACTCATTGTTCTTTGCCCAGAGGTAGAGGAGAA